CCCTACAACATATTATATATCTCTGTACCCAGGAATCCCCTACAACATACAATATATCTCTGTACCCAGGAATCCCCTACAACATACAATATATCTCTGTACCCAGGAATCCCCTACAACATACAATATATCTCTGTACCCAGGACCCCCCTACAACATACAATATATCTCTGTACCCAGGACCCCCCTACAACATACAGTATATCTCTGTACCCAGGAATCCCCTACAACATACAATATATCTCTGTACCCAGGAATCCCCTACAACATACAATATATCTCTGTACCCAGGAATCCCCTACAACATACAATATATCTCTGTACCCAGGAATCCCCTACAACATACAATATATCTCTGTACCCAGGAATCCCCTACAACATACAATATATCTCTGTACCCAGGAATCCCCTACAACATACAATATATCTCTGTACCCAGGAATCCCCTACAACATACAGTATATCTCTGTACCCAGGAATCCCTACAACATACAATATATCTCTATACCCAGGAATCCCCCTACAACATACAATATATCTCTGTACCCAGGAATCCCCTACAACATACAATATATCTCTGTACCCAGGAATCCCCTACAACATACAATATATCTCTGTACCCAGGAATCCCCTACAACATACAATATATCTCTGTACCCAGGAATCCCCTACAACATACAGTATATCTCTGTACCCAGGAATCCCCTACAACATACAGTATATCTCTGTACCCAGGAATCCCCTACAACATACAATATATCTCTGTACCCAGGAATCCCCTACAACATACAATATATCTCTGTACCCAGGAATATCTCTGTACCCAGGAATCCCCTACAACATACAATATATCTCTGTACCCAGGAATCCCCTACAACATACAGTATATCTCTGTACCCAGGAATCCCCTACAACATACAATATATCTCTGTACCCAGGAATCCCCTACAACATACAGTATATCTCTGTACCCAGGAATCCCCCTACAACATACAATATATCTCTGTACCCAGGAATCCCCTACAACATACAATATATCTCTGTATATCTCTGTACCCAGGAATCCCCTACAACATACAATATATCTCTGTACCCAGGAATCCCCTACAACATACAATATATCTCTGTACCCAGGAATCCCCTACAACATACAATATATCTCTGTACCCAGGAATCCCCTACAACATACAATATATCTCTGTACCCAGGAATCCCCTACAACATACAATATATCTCTGTACCCAGGAATCCCCTACAACATACAGTATATCTCTGTACCCAGGAATCCCCTACAACATACAATATATCTCTGTACCCAGGAATCCCCCTACAACATACAATATATCTCTGTACCCAGGAATCCCCTACAACATACAGTATATCTCTGTACCCAGGAATCCCCCTACAACATACAATATATCTCTGTACCCAGGAATCCCCTACAACATACAATATATCTCTGTACCCAGGAGGGAATCCCCTACAACATACAATATATCTCTGTACCCAGGAATCCCCTACAACATACAATATATCTCTGTACCCAGGAATCCCCTACAACATACAATATATCTCTGTACCCAGGAATCCCCTACAACATACAATATATCTCTGTACCCATCTCTACAGTATATCTCTGTACCCAGGAATCCCCTACAACATACAATATATCTCTGTACCCAGGAATCCCCTACAACATACAATATATCTCTGTACCCAGGAATCCCCTACAACATACAATATATCTCTGTACCCAGGAATCCCCTACAACATACAATATATCTCTGTACACAGGAATCCTCTACAATGTTCGAATTTTGTTCAGGTGTCAACTACATTCAACATGATTCTATAACCAAAATTCTACATGTTGTAGAACAGCAGGAATATTGTATTCCTGGTGATTCCCGACAGGAATTGAACCCAAATTTCTGGCGTCGTTAATCCCGAGCTCTGCCAGCTCTTGCATCACTGGAGAGACAAAGACTGTATTTAACACTATAAGCCATGCCGACCTTCTTCTTTGCATTACCATGCTGCCTTGGTAATAGCTCTGTGTCACGCATCAGAATAATCTGATCTAGTCACCATTCTAGGGTAAGGTGGAGGAATCTGCTTGAATATACACTGGCATACTGCTTAGCACATTAATGACCAAGTCGTGTTTATTAAACAAAGCAGCTATTTCCCCATCCCTCCCCCCCCCCACCCCGAAAAAAATCACTGCTTTGGCAAGAATATTAGTAAAGACTTTGGTCACTATTAAAGCTCCAGGAAATTGGTCAGTCTATCTATTAAAGTTCCTGTGTGATGTCCATTCTACATTTTGTACCGTTAAAGCTCTTGAGAATTGGTCAGTCCATTATCAAAGCAATTGAGTCAGCCTAGCATTGAAAACAATGAGTATTGGTCAGTCTATCACTAAAGACCTTGAGCATGGGTCAATCCATCTGTAGAAGAGCCTTGGCTAGTGGGAATTTCCCTCTAGGCGAGCGGAAGAGTGCCCGGCAAGAGACCAAAGGGTTGCTAGTTCGAACCCCAGGAGTGGAACGGTGTTTTTCTCTACTCCTTCCTATTACATGAAATGCTTCAATGGACATCGGGCAGTCCATTATTGAAGCCTTGAGCATAGGTCAGTTTATGATCATCCTACTCTACAAACCTTTACTGATACCGATGTACTTTATTAGTCCAACATCCTAATGACTGGTACCATATAGCCTGTGAGCAATGACCATTTTATGTACGGGTAAATATCAACATATGTTTCTTTAATGATGAGTTGTGAATTTCCTGTTTTTGCAGACTGCTATTAGACTTATATCGTATCTATTAGAAACTTGTCTTTTTGAACCTTTTACGTGAACTATTACTACAGTCCACAGAGCTGCAGTAAGGATGCCTTAGGGAAACAGTTTGAAACTAATGGAGGTGTATAATTTCAATTTCAATAAATTTTATTGCTCAAAAAGGGCAAAGAGATAGGGTTTCAGGCATTGTCTATTTAAGCCTTCTCCCAGAATGGAGGTGTATCAAATGGTTTGTGAGGGAAGGTTACGAATGGATCTTAAGTATGATTTATGAGGCGTCAGTTCTTGATTAGCCTACAAATTGTCATGACCTTGCAGTGGATGACTCTTAATTTTGGTTTAAATAATATGGATAACTTGTTGATTTTTTTCAAATGCAACACATGGTGTCCACACAGCACAGACAGCCTGAATAAAATATCCAGCTGCCTTGTTTCAACACACCTAAACAGACAGTGTAAATAATAGAGGCATTTTCTCAGGCTACAGTTGACAAGTAAACATAAGCAAGTTTGGTCCTGGACAGAGGGCAAAATTAAGTCACCACAACTTTTACTGTAGTACAAAGGAGTAAGAAAAAAATATATACATGTCTTAGAGAATATGATACAACAGGTTTGTTTATGTGGAAAGAGAATTTTTAGAAAACCTGAGATAAAGTGTTGTGCTTCTCTTATGGGATGGTGTTTTGTTTTTGGTCCATGTCGTCCCTGTGTCGTCCGATGTACTTCTTCTGTTGTAAAACAACTGACTTTTTCAACTTCCTCTGCAAACTCAATTGAACCAATATCATTGAAATTTCGCATAAACTTAGATGCACAAAGGTTAACCAAAATTATGAATTGGTTTAAACAATATTTTATTTTCAGATTTTCATTTACAACATACACATACACAAATTATAAAATTGAAAAAGGATCTGGCAACAAGATTATAAATCTTATATGAAGCCATCTCCAAATTATGAATTACAGGGTACCCAACCCACAAGGTTCGATGGAATCTGTGAACACAGAGAAAAATATCGCGTTATTTTCAATACTTGTCTTTAGTAAATACAACGTGTATGGTTGACGAAGTTCCAGTATCACGTGACTATTTCTGTATTCCCTACATATGTATGTTTGAAGTTATATAAATATTTCACAAGTTAAAAGATGTTTATCTTTAACACAATCAGACAATGTAATTTTTTTTTGCGTCTCTTTCATTTATCAAGCAAAATATAGCTGAGTCCTAATGAAAATGTGACACTATTCGGCGAATGAAATAAATTGTAACAGTCAGCTGTCAAATGGTCACGACGCATTATCGTCTAAATATTACTCTTATGCTACAGACAATCTGTGAGAAACATGTGTGATTGATGTTACGTGAATTCCGCCCCTTATTAAATGTTAAAATTGGGCCTTATGATGACTTAGTTGGCACCCCCTTCATCTCTGTTCATCAAATCTCCTTCCCTTATCCAGACAAAATCCTTGATCTCTCTCAGTTTCGAGTTACCATCCCTCTCTAGTTGCCTTGTGTTGTTCCAGTCTTTGATGCAGTTGTAGGTGTTGTCATGGTATGTATTGGCAGATTTATGGTATTCATTTTCTGTTGTTTTTTTCTCTGATGAACACTTTGTTTTCCATTTACTGATGTTACTGGAGATGTTTTCGAATCTTAGTCCAGTTTAACTGATGTACAATAACTGTGCTTGTAACTATTGCACGTAATTTGGTGAACCACACTCGATTGTTGTTTATTTACCACTTTGTCCTTCGGGGCACTAACAGTTGTTTGATGTCAACATCCAGATCCTAAGGAGTCCCGATGGGTCCATACTATTACCGATAAACAGGAAGATTCAAAACACACACAGGCATTACTTCCTCAACGTTAAGTCACGCCATCCATTGTACCAGAGGTTTGGGTGTTATATTCACCCTCCTGGACATATTGTGTAACATCGTTAATGAGCTAGAAAACATGAACATGTGAAGTTTTATATCAAACAAGTTTTCACAACATGTGGTTATCCAATATTGTCGATAAATCGAGGAATTATATGAAACGAAGATCAGAGGCAACAACAGGAAGAGACAGAAAACAAAAAGAAACTAAAACGGCCTTGTCAGCATATCTTGCATCAAAGGCGTGTGGAGACAATTTTAAGGGCTTTGTGACGACGTCACATCGAACCCCATGCGGCCACACACCACCAACAAACAACTGTTATTGTACCCCATGGACAGAGTTGCAATGAAAGAAAACCGAGTGTGGTTTACCAGATCCAGTGCAGTAAATGCTATCACAGTTTAATCGTGAGACTGGACAATGATTCGAAACACTTTTCAAGGAATATTATAAAGACGAAATCATAACGGAAACAAAGTATAAACAAAACCACCAGGAATATTCACCACAAACCACGACGATATCTACCGACACGTCATAGAATACCCGAGGATACTGGTGAAAGAGGATAAGGACGAAATCTTATATAGAGTGCTATTAGAACGTATATGTGTCGTGACAATTTGACAGTTGGAGTTACAATGTCGTGCATTCGGCGAATAGGGAACTAAATATATCATCGTTTGCACTCTTTGCTTGATAAAGGAAAGAAACTTTTTCGAAAGCTCGAAAAATAGTTTTAAATACATAGCCGTTTGTGTTAAAGATAAACATAGGTTAAGATAAATTCATGCCATTCAGATAAAATTTATTTCGAATGTCTCACTAATATTGTTTGTTTTATTGATAAACGTGACTGTGTTTCAGATTCTGACCAAGGACTCCGTGACTGTGTCTGTTGATGCTGTTGTGTACTACCGCGTTTCAAACCCTACGGTTTCCGTGGCCAATGTTGAGAATGCCCACCATGCTACACGCCTTCTTGCACAGACAACACTAAGGAACATTCTCGGCACGAAAAACATGTCTGAAATTCTCACCGAGCGAGAAACTATCAGCAATGCGATGCAGGTATATTTACCACCTAGTAAATTCTGTTCCGGGTTAGGAGACAAGAGATCAGATAAAGCGCTAAGTACTATTTACTTTGGGACCACTACGGTAATTACTTCTCCGCGTCACAATGGCAAAGCGACGATTAAGAAAGTCGATTTATTATGTTTTATTTTTGTTCTCCTCTTTGTCATTTTTCAAAATTAGAAGATGCTCATTAAATTTTATTTCAAATACTGTATGAATTTTGAATTCAGTACCACGCTATTTTGTTTAAACGACAACAGAACAAAGCATGGACGTTCCTTGTCGATTCACTAATGAAGACAAAGCAGATAGTTAAACTACGGATTAGAGCTGTAGCAAATTAATTTGCCTTTGATAAAAAGATGTAAACTAAGCATCAAATAGTAATTTGTCACTGAGGCAAACGTAATGAAATGGTATTACAATCCTGTTGAGAGATGTTGAATTACATGTGTGCTAAAGATTTTCAGCTTAAACATTTTACCACACATGGAATAAACATTAAAATCGTTTTGATTGGCCGAGAAGGAAAACTTTGATCGAAAGGGCACACAAACACACACACACACACACACACACACACACACACACACACACACACACACACACACACACACACACACACACACACACACACACACACACACACAAATAAAGAAAATGATAATTCAAAATTAATCAAAACATTTTATTGCATTGAAGACAGAAACCTCGTCAATTACTGGTTGATGATAAATTATACTGTTTCCTCATGGTTTTGAAATCAACAGTTTTGCATATTAATTAATGGCATTTCACAGCATGTCATAGTCTGAACTAGTGGAACGTTCTATGGACTTTTACGTTTCGATCTGGTGTCTACAGTCTAGTGTTCATCCACGATCTGGAGTTCATCCACAGTCTGGTTGTTCATCCACGATTTGGAGTTCACGGTCTGGTGTTCATCCATGGTCTGAGTGAACGAATTACCATTTAAAACAGCAACTTGTTACGTAACCTTTTCCTTAACCTAGATTTGTGTATCGATGATTTTACTGGAGAGAGCTTTCCTTGTCATGATATCCTCACGAGATCTGGGAACTGCCCGTCATGAGAAATTTATGACGTTACGATAACTTCATCAAGTCTACAATTCATTAACATTACATCAACAACACTTTGCACCGGAAAAAGCCAGAACAGTAAAAAAAACAAAAAAAAAAACCCAATCCTTCTTATCCGTATAGGTGACACTTATTCAGAATATCAACTATTAGGAAAACATTATAAGTCAATTCAGTCTCGTGCTTGCTAGCTTAGTAATGTTACCGCCCAGCTCATGATTCCTTTTCTCACTCCCAAGGGAGTGAAAGTGTTCATTTGATATTTCCTTACCTTAAACAGGGCTACACTTGTGAATCATGGAATATTTTACTCCGTTGTGGGTGGGTTAGGGTTATCTAAACCGATGGGAAATATCGTGTTTGCCAAATCGAGGGTTGAAATCATTCTGTCTTATCCTAAAAGGATGAATTGTTTTATTAATCCTACCCTTTTTGGGATTAAAAACATGTAATGTTGTTATTGCAGTGCTTACTACTCTTGATGTGACGTAATTGAATTGTTAGCGTGACGTCAGTAAATTGTGACTGTGACGTCATACCAAAGTCCTTTCGTCTCTATCGCTAGGATATGACTAAGAAATCTCATTGTGGATACGTCATAATGGTGTTTTAATCAAAACTCCTTAAATATTGTTTGACCGATTTTAACTACACTTATCTTTAAATATCTACATCGTACATATATATATATACCGTATTTCTCATCAATGATATTATACCTTTATCCCCAACTTGTTTGATATTACGTCACTGTCAGATTCAATTTCAAAAACTTATTACCAGTGGCTGATCTCGCTTAGGTTTGTATCCAACAATTATTATGTAGCTCCACAAAATGCTCAGGAATTAAAAGACAAAAATTGTGAAGTGCAGACTTATTGATAGGAAAAAATATCTCGGTTATCGACCCCCTACTGTAAGTCATGGGAATGTCAGTAACTTGGTTAGGTGAAGAGTATTCGTGGTCTGAATGCCTCTTAATGTATTACGTGTACTAAGGTAAAGGCTGGGTATAACGTAGATCACGAAGATGGAAATGCAAGCATTTTAAGAACCTTTAATGAAGTTAGAAATTCTCCGGACCTACTCTACTTGAAAATAGGATAAAAATCTTAAACTAATGTTTGAACGGCGTTTATATGCAATAACTGTAAGACGTTTATTTTAATTAAGTTTTGAAAAAACATAATTGCTTTAAAATGGCAAAATGTAATATAAAGTGAATGAGTCTAGAAAAGTACAAAAATAGTTATCCTTTAAGCTCCGAAAACATTTGATATTTACCGTTCTATCACGGAATCAAGATGTATCGGTCGAAAATAGCGGTAAATCCAATCTGAGGCATGTGTGAAATATATACATTTATCCTACAACTGGCACTGCCATTGTTGGAATAGACCTGCCACATATATTTTTGCTGTATTCGGCACTGACAGAAGAAAGCTGTATTTAAGCACGTGCGTTAATTCGACATTTACGTGATGATTTACTTAAAATTGACGTTTAACAATATAAAAAAAAAACTTTTGAAATCAACCATTTTATATATGTTGTAGGCAAATCGTTTATTTACGAAAATATATGAAATCGCTGTCATATTCGCTGAAGCGTAGAACTATATTTCTGTGCGGAGCATTTATGTAGGCATACGTCATCAGGCAAAATTTAGCTTAACGCCAATGTCAGGTTAACATAGACTGAACAACATAACTGCTTGATTTTTATTGTCTGATTTTCAATCAGTGTTGCAGGATAAATGGAATACATGGACAGTGTCTTAATATATAAGCTGCATTGTGGCTGGGGACAGAGCCTTCTTCACCCTCGTCATAATCAAGCTTGTATTTGAAGACACTGACCATGTATTCTCTATGTAACTCGCCCTTCACTCACAACTACTTCACCCATCCATCTCCTACTTAACTAAACCTGTGAAGATAAACGGGATGGAGCCTGTCTGAATGGACTCTATGACTTTCTGCTTTAACAAATAGGTTTAGTTATCCTTGCTTGATGGTGTTATCTACTGAAACGGTGATGCTATGATGAGTAGTTATAGTGATTGAAGTTGTCTGCCGTAACTTAAATAAATATTGATTTTTTTTCGCCTCCGTCTTTTTATCGCGGTTTTAAAGATTTTATGATTTGTAGGTCCTTAAAATGCCTTTCTTCGTACGTATTTTAAGGTCATAGTTTTTAAGCCCGAATAAATTAGGAACTTAAGATTCGCGATGTAATATTTATTACTAGCCTCGTCTGTCAAAACATTTATTCTCCGAACATGGTACATAATTCGGCGAAAATATTCAATTTCTGTAACTTGTGACGGTCTCTAAACCATTCGGGATATCATGCAGGGGTTTATCTGATTCAACAGATAAGTAATATTTATCTAATTCGGTATAAGATTTACTTCATGCCTAAAACTGTCGCCAGATTTCATCAAACATTGCTAAATTGTCAGATTTCAATTAGTCGTATGTTCATCTGGCAACGAAATCAGACACTGAATCCGTAATAATTAACTTCATAAACAGTGCCAAGAATAGTAATTTACCGACTCTCTATGTTGTACTGTCCAACATCACAGCTCAGATTTAAAACTCCTCGGTACACAATGTGAATGAGGCCGACATTTTGACTCCTGTAAATGAAAATGCACTGTAATATTTTGTAAGCACGGTGCTGATTGTCCAAATGTTTGACACTCGGCATTGATTGCTGGTTAAATTTTGAACACGGATTTGCATTTTCTCAAGTCAAAATATTGCCTTCATGAGACAATGTGCCGGGAGTTTTAAATGTAAGCTGAGATGATTGACAGTAAATGATCGTTCTTAAAAGTGCATTCAAGTTGAATCGCGGACATGTCACGTAAAGATGTTTACGAAGTCGATTATTACGGACTTGGTGTCTAATTTCGTTGTCAGATGATGAGTATCCGACGTATTTGATGAATTTGAAATCTGACATTATAGCGATGTTTGATAAAGTTGTTTAGGGGATGATATATACTGAATCATTTACCATATAAAAGACAAATTATTAATCTGTTTAGTCCACTCCCAGACATCTCGAACGGTTTAGTGACCACCACAAGTTTCTTGAAGCTGGATAGTTTCGCCAGGCCGATCGAGTTCAAACCTTGTTTAATATATTGTGCCGACAGACTGGTACATGTAACGTAATTGAGTTCTAAATAAAGACAGCTCTTATTATGGTTTATTTTCATTGATCAGGGTGGTAGAATTATGGGATAGGATAGGGACATAATCCTGATCCTTACAGAAGCTTTGCAGGAAACCTGCCCAAGTGTGATTTTGTTTCAATGCTGTTACATAATTATACATTTAACAGACTAAAAATAATTCTATATATCATAATTCTCCTCAAACACTGTTTCTGTACAATATTCTTTGTACCAGAGGCGTAGATGTTAAATATTGTTTTTTTACAGGCGGTGTTAGACGGTGCGACAGACAGGTGGGGGATCAAGGTGGAGCGTGTTGAAATGTAAGGCATATAAAGAAAACCGTTCAAACTGACCTCGTCAGTAAAACATGTTTTCAGTTCGTTATTTGCATAAATGTGTCTTAGAATCATAATGTATATGAGATATATGATAATTGAACCACAGAAAAAAAAAAAAAAAAAAACGGACCAAAAGATAAATGTGTGATTTACATTTCCAAATTAATGATGTCTACCCTGTGTTGGAATAAGACGGAATGAGACGAACTTGATCACAGTTGAATTGTCATAATTAGACTATAAAGAGTCTCTGTGCCATCGGAAAAAGGCTGAGATTACCAATTAAAACCTGATTTCGTCGGGAAATGACGGATACTTCCAATTAAAAACCTGATTTCGGCGGAACAATGGCTGATGATACAATTAAAAACCTGATTTTGTCGTTGCATAAATATATATATGTAGACAGAAAACTGTTAATCAATTGTTTTGTAAAGAAAGTTTTGTTTTGTAATTTTGCAGTAAAGATGTACGCCTCCCAATTCAGTTACAAAGAGCAATGGCGGCTGAAGCTGAAGCTGCCAGAGAAGCTAGGGCAAAGGTCAGTAGGGGTTATAAAGGTCAACATGAATAGTCTATCATATTTATGGTGAACATACTTACGATGTTTCTGCATGTTTACAATGAGTCCGAGCAGACATTTGTTATAAACGATATAACGGAAATGAGAAGGTCTCTAAGTGTTACGTTTATGTAAATGAAGGTTATTATGTAGATACGGCAGTGAATATATTAAGTCTGTTTCTGAGTTTAGTATTAAGTGACGGACATAGACAACTTCATTTCAATTAATTCTAATAAATTGACCAGCTGATCTAGCCAGAACAGTGTGTCGATTTAAGTGTATTTTCAGTATACTTTACGTAAACAATATTTAGGGTAGAAACTGGTGTTGTTTTCATGGTTATAACCACAAAAATAAAAGACAAAAAAAAAATAGAATTTCAGATGAATGAACTACATACATTATTTGTGAAATGTGTTTCTGAGAATTTTTCTTTTCACTTTAAATAATATGTTAATTTGTATCCAAGTAAGTACCTGTAACATTCATTGTTATACATCTCAATTATTTAAACAGTTAATAGGCGATGACTGTAACATTTCGAATGGTGAATATTGAAATACCTGTATGAAATTCAAGACGTTTAACTAAATATTCTTCTATCAATATAATGCTCTATAACATATCAACAGAGATCGGAGGTTGAAGTAAGAGTTTTCTCCCCTTCCTTAGTCACACAGTTACAAAGAGTTTAAAAGGATCTGTTAAAATGTAATTGAATACAATAACACTTTCTGGCGATCGTGTTGTGTGATTAATGGTAAATTCTGCTAATTGGCTATTAGATTGGAATTAATTTCATGGAGATTGTCCTAATGTGATCGTAATGACTAAATTTTTTTGTTGACAATTTAGGTTTTGGCTGCTGAAGGCGAACAACGCGCAGCACGAGCCCTGAAAGAGGCTGCGGAGATTATCAGCCAAAGTCCTGCTGCCCTACAGCTACGCTACCTACAGACACTCAACTCTATATCCGCCGAGAAAAACTCGACTATCATTTTTCCTCTACCAATTGATCTAATAGATTCATTCATGAGTCACAAGTAAAAAAAAAATAACAAAACATTGAGGAATTTTCACTTAACGTATATTTTTAATTTTAGATTGTAGTTTAATTATCCATTTAGTAAAACGGAAGAAACGTTGACAGCTAATATTTCAAAAATCACACAAAATTAATAAACAACACATGGTAAAGATTTCAACATATCTTTTTTATCAAAAGGATTTAATGTTCAGTCCATCTCGTTTTCAATGATAGATCGTCCCATCCAAGTCTGTATATACATCCTCACTTGTTTAAAATTACATATTAATAAAGCTTATGTCGTTGCTAATTACATTCAAGGATATCATCAGTTTTTTGTATTGTAAATCTGCTGTACAAAATGCAAAAATTAAAAAGTAAAAATTAATTAAACTAATAGTGACCACTTTTACATCGGTAGTGTAGTAAACAAGCTGACGGGAAAGTTTTTGTTTGTCAGCTAGATTTAGGAATTCGAGCGTTTTTAGAATCAGGGTTACATTTAGTTTAAGTGATAGATGAAGTGGACTGATTTCTCGATATATAGTTAGCCTGGACCGATCACTCTTTTTTGAAAAGGAAAGTAAATCTTGTTACAATGTAAATCTCAAGTAGTTTGTAGAATTCATTTCTTGAAAATCTTTGAAAGACTGTCGAATTTTAAAAATTTACTTACCATCAGGTAAAACAGTTGTTTCAAACTTTCAACACATAACTTTCATATTTTGTAACATTCATCTTCTTATCATCGGAATTTTTATAAATATAAATATATTTTACGAATTATGTGAATCTGTCTCGTAGTTGCTTTTGTAGAATACTCATGTATAGTATAGCCATTTTCCTATCGTTTCTTCACATCTTACAGAAATGACGGTTTTAAATATACATTTTGTAGAGTTCTGCAATAAGCTGTTTTTGATATTTATGTATAATTTACGTACAACCAATATATAAATGATTTTAATATAGTATAAACTTGTTTTAAACCTTAAGCGACATTGTTTGAATAAACTAAATACCTACGATAGTATTGTTATAATATGTAATGGAGATTTAGTATTTTTCATCGTTTATATTTATACACTGTGTTTATTTAGTTCTCTTTTTGTAAAACATTGTACATGGTAATTTATGGGTCAGGGGATACATTATGTATACAAATTGGCTATTTTGTTTTCCTATTATTTTATTGGTGTCATTTGAAAGAACTATTCTATATATCATTCTTCACGTTCGCATAATTATGCTGAAGTCAAAATATAATTCTACTCAAAAGATACCAACGTGATATCGCCATAGTCTTGTTAAAATCCATTTTGTCTTCCTTACATCTAATCTAGAGCATTACCAGATCTACCTTGTAACAAAGTCGTTGATGTTGTTTTTGATAAGGTTGTGGTTTAGAAAGAACTTAAATCTAACCACCTCGTGTCATTTTAGTACCCGGCATTTTGTTGTCAGTGGAGGAAATAAAACAGTTGCTATTTTATGTTGTTATTGTTATGTTTCAACACGTTTCCGTCAATAACTGCACGAAAACAAACCATCATAATTATATCTAGAAAAATCGTTCATACAGATGTCCATATGCTTCAAAATAAAAAAGGTCCATATTGCATGCCAATGAAGAACCATATTTTTGTGAGAACTGGCTTCCTGAGCATGCGCCAATAATTGCAGCATGAACAAACTGATCATTTTACCAAAGTTGAATCAAGGGGAAAGTTTATGGTAAATGCATATTGTCTTCTGATGTCCTATATCACAAGATTGTGGCGCCATGTTGCCTTGAATGAGAATCGCCAGCTCTGTCGAGAGAGGCTCTGTGGAGTCAATAATTTGGAATAAGGGGTATCTGAGTTGTTTATCTCATATTTCTTCATTGTCTCTAGCACTAAGTCATGTCCATTCCTTTATCATCTTGACAATCTTGTTAGTGTGTTAGTGAAGAGGAATGCGAGTAGAACAGAATAGCCATTTTCTCTGTAAAGTCACAAATGAACCAGATATATTTCGAAGATGTTAACTTCAAATCTGGCGTGGTTTCAACCATCAGGGCCCTTGATCGAGTGCGAATCTTTGTAAAAAAAATCCATGTTTAGATGGAGTTATGGCCCATTGTACCTAGAATATTGTGCAAAATGTCAGTTTTTCGTTTTTTATACGTTGTTTCAAGAGAAAATGACTTTAATTTGGTGCGTGGCTTTTAGGCATATACATGAACTACATAGTGGGAACGTTTATCTTTCTTTCGTTCTTCCTTTCTATCTTTCGTTCTTTGAGATGCGATAAACTTGTTGGTATAAATTTGATTAAAACAAAAGAAAAATACCGATATGTCAACAGAATCTGAAAACAAACTGGGGCAAAATATGAACACGGCGGCACCTGAAAAAGTAGGAGGAGAATTAGTGACATTTGCTCCATCGACTTCACCCGCCATCTTAACCAATCCAAGTTAGTAATGTCACATTACCAAATAAGGAAAAGATAAACAACGGCGGAACAACCGGGCAAACTCACGAGCATCAATCACATGTCATTTTATATCGCACCAGGACATCGAATGAAATCACCATGACGACCACAAAACTATGTTAGTCTTCAGCAACCTTCATATCTCTTAGCATTTGTTGTAATTAAGCTTATCCATCAGCTGTCAACATCTTGCACGAAAATCGTAATTTTGAGAACAAGCCCAGAGCAATGGTGAGGGATAGTATTGTCAAGAAATGGAAAGTTAATAATAGCAACTGGTGCGGCCATTGTTGAATATATCAACCACATATATTTTCGCTGTATTCGACAGTGGTGGAAAACAGAATTACTTTCTGAATTTACTTAAAAAATACGCTTAACAATATAAATAACTATTGAAATAAGCCATTTTATATGTTGTAAAGAACAAGTTTTTCTACAAATAGTCATAAAATCGCTGTTTTATCCGTTGAAGTTTGAAAACTATTTTTCTGCTGGGTAATAATTTTGGCGTGCGACATCATGCTAACTTCAGCGAAATGTCAATGTCAGGTAAACAAAGATTGAATAAAAAAAACTGTTGTAGGTTCGAGTCCGATTTTCAATCAGTATTGCAAGATAAATACAATAAAAATATATTGTGTATTGTGGCTCGGGTCAGAAAGACAAAAGTGGCAAACTTACCAGATGCTCGCGACTTTTGTCTTTTTTCACCCTCACCAAAATTCGGATTATATTTTAAGACACAGGCCATGTATTTTCTATATAAAGATTTGGTTAAACACTCAGACGATCCAGCAATGAAGCACTATTTAAATGGCTCATTTAAGGTTTCTGAATCCTGTGCACACGCTGAAGCTCTTTATTATTAATAGCCTATCCGAATGTTTGTACATAGTATAACACTTAAACACATTGAGCAAGTTCATGAATTTCTCCCATTTTGCATAGGTAGAGTTTCACCATTATCGAACAATGCTAATTGTGTTTTGTATGCAGGATATGTAATAAAGTTTTCTTTTGAAGACATGAATCAATCACTGACAAATTTATCATGCTAATAGTGCAAGGCGGTGTTGACATTAGCAACAAGGATAACAGACGTAGGTGATTTGTTTTCACGCACCTGTTTTCCATACCATATGATATAGTTTTCCACATGACCCATAAGTTCCCTCGATATCTGGGTCCCTGTATGAAAAGCTACATATTATGCTCCCTGTAAAATTCTTTGATTTGTTCATATTAGTGTTTTTAATGCTCTATTAATTGAAGAAACATTCTCTTTCTCTCTGGATCGTGTTGATTTATGTCAGTGTTACAAGGAAGTAAAATGTTAACAGTAATTACTGCTCCTATTAGCCATCTTTGTCTCTTTTTTTGCGCTTAGCGGTAAAGCATATTATCCTTTAGGAAAGATTAATGAGAATTTCTCAAATTAGCCCCTTGTTTATCTATTCATGATACATAGTATCTGTCAAAAGTTTGTTTTTCAGTCCTGGCACGCTCATAATGGTGGACTATTTAGGGTTTGTCATGCTAGTACTGTTCGTGGGAGGAGTAGCACGCAGTTAGTGATTAATAGCTGTTCTATTCAATAGATTCTCGCTCCCATTAAGAATGTATTTGCAGTAACCTGTTCTATTTGTATATAATCATGACGTACATGTATTATTACCTATATCAATGATATTTCACTTCTCACTGATGACAAATTAAAAAAGACAGTCTAGATACTTTCTTTTTTTTTGTAATCATGAAAATGTCACATAACACCATGCTTAATATTGCTTTGATGTAGGCCTGACGTAAAATACTATCCGGCCTATTAAGTATTCTACACCACGAATGCACAGACAAGGTTGATAAATTGCTAATGACTTTCGACCCTACATAGAGATTGCTTGATATTTCCCTTTATTTCTGTTTTGGTGTGTACTTTTCTAGAACACCGTTTTGGTCAGTGTCTTGTACTTGTAAAGTTTGTATAATACTGTTTGGATTCCCCTGTATGTCCATTTATTCGAATCTTGACGGACAACGAAACTGCTAGACGTTAACATTGAGTACCATTCTAATGTACATAACTAACAAGGGGAGAAAATTCAAAGTTTTCTATAACATTATAATTAGGCCATAAAACTCTACTAATCATCATCAACATGCATTTATTAACATAAATAAGTATTAGTTTTCAAGTCAGATGTATAAAAATATACAATTTCTCATATCTTTCGACATGGTAAGCCTCAAGCCTGATATTAACTATATTTAATTATAGAAATATTTTCTTTCCCTAAAAACACGGACGTCATTAGTGTATTAAGATGACCATCTATAAGATGAGGACGAGACAGCTGTCACTAACACTTTGATAAACCACTACTCACACAAGGGGAATGACCTTTGTGTATTTCCGCCTAGTATAACAATTGTATGTTCTATCTTACATAAACAAGTCAACAACAAAGACAATTTTTTAATTAATGACTACTAAATCGGCGATAATTCCTCATTGTTTATTGTTTGATTAACAATCAGATCCAATGTTCCTCACCAACTCAATGAAAACTTAATGCTGGACATCAGTCGCTTTAATTGTGCGTCATTAAGGCATTAACAAGTAACGAGTATTGAGTAAGTATAGAGAGGTACCGTCTGACTGAATCCGATATTCAATAAAAGTCCGTGACTAATGCCTACACAAACTCCATATAATACATTAATTATCATTTCTCTATTGAGCGATTTCTTTCATATTTATCTTCAATATAAACAGTTGCTCAATGCCGATCCTACCCTAACTAACCAGTATGAAATACACTTTAAAGGACCTCTATAACATCACACGAATAGACTTACTCACTTGAAGAAAGTGGTAACTCTTTTGAAAACATATTGTTACAATTATATTTGTTTGTGAGTATAATACAATTAAACGGACAATTAATTATCAACATTGTTGAATGTCTGTCGCTGCACAACAACCGTAAATAATTTTCTTCATCTAGAAGCTACGCTATAATTCCTCCCAAACCCTAACGCCATTCTTGGCTATAATGTTGATCCACTTTGAAAATCTATAGATACTAAAATATTTAATTACCAGCACTGTAACTGGCAGAAGTATTTTTCAAATAGCTTCTTAGATTCGACTGTTTATGGCTTTTATATCAGTCCTATTACAGCCAGAATGTCTAAGTTTGTGCAACATAATTTCTTCCCGGGTAAAAGTACTATGCACAGACTTCAATTGTAAGATAAATACAAGATTCTAACGTCAACATCCTGTGTACCACGTCGTTTGTCCACACAAGACGTCCTTGATGCTTCTACCCAACTAGTTGACGTGACCATAGAATTTCTGTCTTCAAAATCCGTCGGAAGTATTCCGTTCATAAATCCTTTTTGGGAACTAGATGTCACAATAGAGCAATGTGTTTGATATAGTCGGTCTTGCACTGTCGACTTTACCTCGATGTATCCAGCTGTTTAGTTAATGATAACGTTGTTTTTAGAGTAGGACACACAGAATTTGCCTATAGAAAGGTGCATACATCTGGTTGATTCCGGCTCTGTAACAGATAAAAAAAACTCATTATATATCTATATTGATATCATATATATATATATTAAAACCGATTGAAAGTAAACAATACATATATGCATATATGTAGCTTTTATGGCTTGTATAAAAGTGATGTGAGCGGGTTCATTAGATAAACATGACTAACCATTCTTATTACAAACCTATGTATGTTAAATACAAACCAGATAAACGCATTAAGCCTACAGAGCGAGGCTATCCATTATTAATATTATAATGAATACAGATATCATAGTTAATTCAACACATGGTTTGAATACACCCCCTCTCTCCCCCCCCCTCTCTCTCTCTCTCTCTCTCTCTCTCTCTCTCTCTCTTCGCTATTGTGCCTGTTTGGTTTTCAGAAGAACGAACGTAGATACAGATTTTCTAGCCTTTCCGTTTTATTGCAAAGGGGGAGGAACACAAGCTATTAAAATATAATCTTTATATATTTTCCATTAATTGCGAAATAAGTTATTTCAGCTTGTACTAATTACTCTCGTTGGCCTTGATGTAAGCTGGCGAGGAGTTTTCCTTTAGGAGAAAACCGGGAAAAATCACGTGGTCGGGCAGGTGACCCCTTACCTTTTCCCATTCGTTCCGGGAATCTAATTGTCCAGATGATATCGATCATGCTATGTTACCACGTGTCTCAATTTAGTAATGTGTAAATGGCAGAAGATACTCACTCTTTGGACAACATATATGATGGGTAGGGTTACACGTGTGCTCACGTGAATGACAGTACCCGGATTTACAGGAGGTGACCTGTCCTTGTGGTTCTTTCATCGGCGCGCCGTATGGACAAGTACTGCCCGGAAGTACTGAACCATCGTTCATCAGAATAACTGTTAAAATAAAACGTTATTCAGTTGCTGGCATATATATATGTAGTGATACATGTTTTCTACAACACAGTATACATTTCTATTCATTTGTTAGAAAAGAAAGATCAGTGAGCCAAACAGGAAGAATAAAGCAGCTTGGTTAAGATGGACAGATGACTACTTACTTCTTGGTTTTACCATCCGGACTCTAAACATGAAGGCATCGCCACACGATCCAGCGATATATCCTCCCCGTGTACTGTTGACGTCAGCGAAGAACACTTGCTCTATCTCTTTGAAGAAGAAGAGTCGCTCGTTGCTGTATATTACTGGTTCCTGTTAGGGCAATTCAAAGAATTTTTCATAATTTATTTTAACATTCGTTTAAATCATTTGAGGTGTAGATAAACTTACTCATATATATCAAAATAATTTTTTAAAAAAACCCAGCGCGTTTAGTTAATACAAATGCTCGCTGTGTCTTAGCTTTCCTATCGAACTTTTATTTCGTTTAAGACCAGTAGGATATTCTCCATAAGTACATACCGTCGCATTCCGAGTTTTCAATGTGTATTCAGTAAAGGAATCGAGAATTGCTGAGTCGATGGTTCCGACGTAACACATGTCCTTAGCTATCCTTATAGCGAAACTGTCCTGTAAAACAAACAAACTTCTCATCAAAACATCTCATACAAATATTTCCTAGACCGGAACCCATTGCCTTTATTATATATACATACTAAAAAACAACAAACAAATAAACTAAAATAAATCCCAAAAAAACAAAAACAAAACAAAAACAAAAAAATAAAACCTCAGAAATTGATGTAAATTGATAAAGGCCTTAGTACCAATGAAAACAACGTAATGAAATGGAGAACAACAGGAGGAAATGGAGGTTATGAAAAATGTTTGTGCCAATATGTAACGTTGATAAATCCACTTTACGAAATGCGCACTTTACCAGAATATTGTCAGGCTGTGTTTACTTACCGTGTTCCTGTCCATGACGAAGTAGTCGGCGATTTTATAAATCCTCAAAGTACTGTCATACACATAGTTGACTATCCTTTGTACGGCGCTGGTTACCTCTGTGTACTCCTCTTTGGAGGCAGATCCGTCCGGATATCTGATGGTATACTGGTCCTTCATTTAGAATACAAATAGTCGAAAATAGATGATGTTTGCAATATTTGTAATATTTAAACTTATTTTAGTGTTGAAATGTAATAATAATTAATAAAAAATTGCATTTCTTTTTTTCACCACATCAGTTCTTTTTTGTTTTATAATTACTTACAAACTGCGGAGTATCATATGCTGGTGGAGGTCTGCCGTCTGGCGGAGGTTGGGCATAGTGGGGCCCTGGGTAAGGGTCAAAGTTGGTCAGTGGCGATGGTGTTGTATGGTATGGCGGGGGGTGCTGACCAACTGGCGGCTGTACCGTAGGGTACCACGGGTTTGCAGCCGCTGGAGTTGCTGGAGGGTCATCGTCAGTGGTGGTCGGTATTGTGGCGGGGGTATGATATATCGGTCCTGAGTTCACAGTTGGAGGTGGACCATAAGGGTCGACCGGTCCAATTGCTGGGACATATGGTGCTGGCTGATGCGGATCTTGATAATATGCCCCTGGTTGACCAACTGCGTGATATGATTCTGGAGGGCCGGCTGGATATGATTCAGGTGGTCCGGCTGGTGGGTAGGGTTCTGGGGGGTAGGGTGCTTGTGGTCCACCTTGGTACTCATATGGATGCGGTCCTTGTGGATGACCGTGATATGGGTCGGGGGCATAGCCTGGATGTCCTGCCATATGTAAATCTGAATTCACTGACGGATGCTGATTTGTGAAAGCATCTGCCGTTCCTGGCGGGTAGCTGGGTTGACGACCTGGCCAGTTATCATCGTTATATGCAGGTGGTTGTGGTGCACGGGGATCGGATGGCGATGCATAGGGGTCTGGAGCAGGAATATGAGAGGTTGGTGGACCCATATGTGGGCTTGGTGCATGTGAGTCTGGTCCCCAATGATGTGGTGGCATCCCGTGTACCGATGTTGGGGCTGGCTGGGCCGGTTGACTCTTTCCCCAAAGGTCCGCTTCACTCTTTGGACGCGGAGAAAAATTTGACGAAGGCTCAATATATGTATCAGTTTTGCTATCATATACAGATAGTATATCCCCCGTTTCTTGTGTCCTCCTTAGTGTTTTCCGCTCTGGAAGAGGAGCTGCTCGAGGGTCTGATACAGGTCTTTTTCTACCTTTACTTGTTGCTTCATGATTGTCTGCATACGGTTTTCCAATAAACTCCACTGCTGGGTCGACAGTAGGCCCATCTGCTATAACTCGACGTTTTTTATGATAGCTGTGGTTCCTTTCCTTTCGAGAAGATTTTCCGGTCGCCTCTGGATGCGAAGTTGGTTTTCGTCGAACTTCTGTCACGCCTTCATAATAACCGATTTCTTCATGGACGTCCGCCTTGCGTAAGTGAGATTTACTTCTCCGTTGTGGTACCTGATCATGCGGGGGAGTTGGTTCTACGTGTCTATCGTTAGGATGAGGGTTTGTTTGTCTATGTTTTGCAGATCTTCCATGGGGAGGCGGGTCTTTTGATCGCCATCTCGGCTCTGCTACCTCTTCATAATGCATGTCGGTAGGATGTGCGAACTCTGGGTGACGTGCCTTGTTGCTTGAACGTGTTGCTGATTCTCCATGGTGAATCTCAATAATGTCGGGATTTGGTTCAAGATGCAAATCTTTTAAATGGGTGTTCATTTTGTCTCTTGTTTTAGATAGCATTGTTTCTTGTGCTGGGTCAGCGGAAGAACCCTGCTTTTGCTTCAACACCTCCAAAACTGACACGCTTACATTAACATCAGGGTCACCCGCAGTGGATTTTGGCATGGAAAGAATCTTGAGTTTTCGTTTAAGTTCAGCTATTATTTTCTCTGTCATTGGGTCTCTTTCATACTGTTGTTCTGCAGCTTTAGTTGGATGAATCGGCTTAACCTCAACAGCTAATTGAACCGATTCCTGAGGAACTGGAGTGTTGGTTTTGTCTGAAATATCATTAGCATGCCGTGATTCAACAGTTGTCTGCATGATAACAGCTCCGTTCAATAAAGTTTTTCTCTTTTCCTTCCTTCCTTTTGGGTCTGCTATATGTTTTGGTCTTTCAGAAGTGGTGAAAGTGTCCATGCTAACGGATTCGGAAGGTATAGCAACGGTGGTTGAAAGTGGTTCTATATTTGTTATCTGGATGCCGGTTACTGCTTGTGTAATTGAGTTGCTAATTCTACGATCCGCGTGAGGTAATGCTTCGCTAGGAATCGGATCGTTGTTTGAAGGTGGATGTGCGTTACTAGTGTAATGGTTTGAATCCAGTTTTGGAGTGTTACTGATATGGTTGGGTTGTGCAGATGGCACCGGCTTTTTTCGTGTGTCAAATCCATTAGACGATGGTCCTGTCGGATCAACATGTATAGCTTGCTCCTTACGTGCCACAATATTGCCTCGACTTGTTTCTATACCTGTAAACGTTTCGCTTCGAGCAGACTCAACTTTTGAATTGGTTTTTCTACGTCTCGGCTCTTCAGGTTGTAAAGCATCACTTTGTTTCGTTTTACTTGGTTGTTTTTTCCTGGGTCTACGTTTCCTAGTAGATTTTGTTTGACTCTGTCGAGGCTCATTTTGATTGAGAATATCAACGCGCTTTGTTTCTGAGCGATGGAAACTTTCAGCTTGGTTTGTCTCGAAATGTCCTTCACGAATACGCTTGGGAGAGGAGGGCTCTGTCCTGGTGGATGTGCGAGATCTAAGTCTGGAAGGTCGATGATTATCTGCCAAGGGGTCACGATGAATCTCTGACCGTGGGTTTGATCGAGTCGGGAGTGCAGTCCTTAACTCCTGTCTCCGATCTGGTGGGGTTGGTACCTCTAAGTGACGTTCTCGGTGATATTGGGTATTTCTTGTTGGATTATCTCCATGACGACGTGACGGACGGTGTCGCTGATCATTTTGGAAACGAGTTGGTGGGCGCGGTGGAAGCCTCTTTTTGGTCGATTCACGAGCATATGTTTTTGAGTTATACCCAGTGTATCCAGTTTGTGGGTAAGGCTTCGGTGTAAAACCTGGGCGGGGCTGTTGAAATGGAGGACCCCTGGGAACATTTGCATGATAGCTTTTGGCGGTATTTTCTCTGCGTTTTTTAGCTGGTATTGGACGTTTCTGTAGCCATGCTGGTATATGATGCCGTCCGGATCTTTGAGCGTGAGATGTAGGTATTGGTGCCTTTTTGTTGTTTCCCTGGTCAGTCCATAGTGATTGTGTACCAGTAGTCGTCCAGCCTTTAACTAACTCGTGCGGTTTTGGAACTTTGTTAACCTTGTGACTAGGTGCTCTATTTTGGCCCCAACTATTCCCCCGTGTTGGTGGTGCTTTGTTTTGCATCCCCGGAGCTCTCCATGTCGAGCTTGATTTACTAATCCATTGGGATGAAGCGGGCTTTTTCACCTGAGGATAGGGATATGCTCCTGGTTTCCAATTATAGTTACGAACACCATTTTTTCCACCTGACCACTTTTGTCCAGGAGTGTTTGGAGTGCGTCTATTGGGTGGAGTGGCAATTCTAGGTTTGACAGTCACGCGACGCTTTTGAGACGCCGACCACCCTGTTGGTTCCGAGTTCGGCCATGACTTTGGCGCTTGGTTCCAAGATGGATTTACAACCTGACCGCCTGGGCTATTACGTTGTGTTGCTGTTCGAGCTGCTGGTGGCGATGCCTGACCACTCCACCATGTCGACTTTTGTTGGCAGTAACAGGATGTGATATGTAAAAGTAACTACAAAGAAAAGAACAATGACGTCATCAATCAAAGCATGGAAAGTCCAGATATAAGTTTCTATGGTAAAAATGTTATTTTTTTCCAGTGACAATTGAAAGTATCTATATTTCATATCAGCCAATCATTGAGCACTGTGTTGTGTTTTGAAATAAAATATATAGCGTTTTCTGTAATTGTCAAAATGAAGCTTATATGCACTAATTGTTCTAACTCTTTTTACAGGTTCAAATAAATCGCCCTTCTCCTAAAATATAACATTTTGATCAAGAATCCCGGAATATCAACTATAAAAGTCAAATCTCATTTCAGCCTCGTCAATGTGGTTGTCTCCCCTCTCAGCCAGATTTGGGGGAATAGTTACCTTATTGGTACATATTAACAATTATGTGTCCTGTCTCGAACTGCTTGAATCGTGAGGTTAAACAAGAGACACTACAGTATTATCTCCATAGGCAGATATGCAAATATGCTTTTGTATATGAAACTAGATGAATCGAATGGAACGACTTGAAGACGACGCTGTACGTCGTTAAAACTTAATAACAAGTTACATAACGGATTTGTGACTTGATAGATAAGTATGGTTTACTAAGGTGGACCAAAGTTTATGCTGTATTGTATTTTCTCGATGTCGTTGTAATCTGTGCTTCTTTATACTCATTTTGTTTCAGATGGTTATTATACATGTATAAAAACAAAAACAAAAAATAACCCTGACAAGTGATACTGAAATTTGATTATTATGTAGATGAGCAGACACGAATTTCGTAGCGACAAGTGAAATTAAACAGCCTAACCAAATGGTTGTCATACATTTGTAATGAATTATAACATTTGACGTTACTGTGATGCTGTCCTCTTGTGTGATATTCCTGGATACGATACATACAGAACTCATATATCATCCGCCATAGCTATTCCTATCCGCCAACACGGAAATCTAATACAGATCATATAGTATTTGACTTGACTTTCAAGCTCGTTTAAAATTAAAAAGAGTATCAAAGATTAAGTCGGGTTTACATAGATATGGGTATTTTTGAACATTGGAATAGCCTGACATTTTTTAAATTACATAGAAAATGATTGATACTATTTTTTTACAATGCTTAGCATAATATACAAGTCCTGTTTAACTGTCACCGTAATGTAACCTTTTGTCAGAAAGGGAAAAACATAATTGTTGATGCTGCAATTGTTTACAATTCTCTGGATGAATTTAGAAGTTGTTTTCTGTCTCCAGTCAATGTTTCTCGTAATTTGCAGACTTTTAAGTGTCCGTTCTAGCTTCTGTATTTCTGCTGCACTATTTATCGACAGTGCGAAATATTTTTTCTAGTTCGCGGAAAATGCTACTAATACATTTCGTTGTCTAGGATGCTTACCCCGAGTTAAATGCTGTTGTCTTTTCTGTGTTAAGATAAATTTACATATACCGCAGGAAAGTAAGTTGTATACAGAACTATTACAATACTTAGCAACGGAAAATCTAAGGATGATTAATGTTGGAATAGCGTTATCCTTTGCCTCTTCCAGCAGAACATTGAAAAAACCCAAGAGAATACCAACGTGACAACATAATCATAATCGAAACTCAAATTCCGTAAAACTTCAGGAAAATACGAACAAAAGAAAAATTTACACGGTGACTCCTGAACAATTACAAGGAGAATAAGACCAGGTATTCCGGAAGAGTAAGCAACTTCTGCTTCATTGAAGACACTCGTCATGTAAAATTTGGGCAATCTAAGTAAGTAATGCAACGTTCTCAAATGAGACCAAGGTATACAACAACAGAACCAACAGACAAACTAACGAGCATTAATCACGTCCAACTTCATATCCCACAAAGAAACAGAATATTTCTCAATGAAATCACTTTGGCGACCAGTTAACTTTCCCATAATTTTTTATCAACCTGTATCTTTTGAAACATTTTTAATTTTCATAAAATATCGTTCAGAGAGACTTGACAGGGTAACCCTCATAACTTCTTTCCGGAATGTGATATGTATTTCTCGATTACACTGTGATAATTCAACCATACTGATAACATTGACAGTGATGGCAAGCCAATTTAACTTTTCTCAAAAGAAATGAAAATATTAAAATGTTATACATATATTCATCAAGAGATGTTAAATAAACTACAGTTTAATAATCAAAATATTTATTACTGACAGTCGAGTCAAAAACGTAAATGTTATTAATTACAACCCAATCTAACTTCCCTCGATATTATGATATCTATTTATACAGTTCATATGTAAAACAGCTGTTGTCCTCCTTGTCAAAAGGAATTAAACAACTTAGCTTTGAAATGTTTACAAGCTTTCTAAAATATCATTCCACGCTCTCAATCATCAGCGACAGCATGTCATCATGATACTTAAATGGAACGTGATGGTTTGGCGTTGGACTAATTGTTACTTTATCTAGAGGCATTTGTTTTCAAAAGCAGATGCTTTATAATATTACAGAAAAATATGTCATGGCCATTGCTAATATTTGGAATTAGTTGGATCATTCGTGATTTCTGTCTTCTTTTGTCTGTCTCTTTTCTCGAACCAGTAGGTAATTTTTCAACACTCTGGCCACGTGACAGATGAAGGAATGATGTAAAGAACGTGTCTTCGTTCTTTAGATAAGTCATATACACATATATATAACAAAGACATAAATTATGTAAAAAGTGTCGCTTTAGTGACGTTTAAGAGATCACTTTAGACAAAACGTTCTTAAATTGGCGCCAGATTTATGTATCCAGAGCAAAAAAATAGCTATGCATACTTTGGAAAATTTTAATCTTATACCTGTAGAGAACAATATTTCAGATAACATTAATATTTGTTTGCTAACATTATATAAATAGTTTTAAGTTATATACATAGTTGGGGGGGATCAAACACGTAAACATAAAACAAGAAAGAGAACATTTCATATATCAAAATGTACATCAGTTATTCATGTAGGTAATCTGGTAAAAAGTGCAACAAGACAGGTTTTTATAATCTCGACAATTTAATAAATAGCTATGAAGCATACCACGTGAAAAGTAATGTAAATAAATACAGGGAGGGTTAAATGTTTTAATTTTTATCCTGTTATCTATTTGGCTTTCCGGCCAGCCAGTCTTAAAGTACACCAGCCAATATTTTTGTATATCCTGATAAAACAGCTCTGAATTTGTCATATCAGCAGTTAGAACATCGTACAAGTCATGTTTGGGAAGACCGAAAGTCTTTCTAAATGTCGGAAATTTATGAATATTCAAGAGGACAAGAACTATCCAGAAATGAATTAGCAAATTTAACACTTTTGGAACAAGTTGTACCCATGTTTCGACTGACTTGTTTTTACAAGGGTGAGTTTATCGAAAGGTTTGTCGTAACTGGTCACAAAGTCCTTCAATTTTTATTTTCAGATATATCAAAGGGACTTAAAGGTTAGATTTCGTCACAAAATTATAACGCTCTTTGAGAGAAACTGATAAAGATTATCAACTTCAAAATAACGCTAGTTGACACTCGCTGTTGTGTCTACCAGCCATCGCATTTTTTGATCGTTTTAATCCGCCATTTTGATATGATTTCTTACTATGTATAGTTATATAATTAGTAAATTACTAATTTGTAAAATTACCTCTTGTTTCACGCTATACGCGTGACAGAAAATGAATTAGAATTAATCTAATTCTAAAATTGCATGCACAAAGACATTGTTTACACTCTCTAAACGATAATGATATGAATAAAAGTCGCTCCTATTTTATTTCAATTCTATGACGTTATTAATAAAATGGTTATGCAAACTTTAAAATATCATAATCAACAGAAAGAACGCAATTCTTAAAAGATATTTAAATGTTATTTAAATAATTTTTATCAGTTGAGAAATTAATATCTAACCATTTCGTCCTTTTAATGATGTTTTATCGGTAAATAGCAAGTCTGTATAGTCATTGACAAGTTGAAATTTTATTTGTCGTCATTTACAAGTTGGTATTTTATTTGTCGTTATTTACAAGTTGATATTTTATTTGTTGATATTTTATTTGTCGTTATTTTATTTTATTTGTCGTTATTTACAAGTTGGTATTTTATTTGTCGTTATTTACAAGTTGATATTTTATTTGTCGTTATTTACAAGTTGATATTTTATTTGTCGTTATTTACAAGTTGATATTTTATTTGTCGTTATTTACAAGCTGATATTTTATTTGTCGTTATTTTTTTTATATTTTATTTGTCGTTATTTACAAGTTGATATTTTATTTGTCGTTATTTACAAGTTGGTATTTTATTTGTCGTTATTTACAAGTTGATATTTTATTTGTCGTTATTTACAAGCTGATATTTTATTTGTCGTTATTTACAAGTTGATATTTTATTTGTCGTTATTTACAAGCTGATATTTTATTTGTCGTTATTTTTTTATATTTTATTTGTCGTTATTTACAAGTTGATATTTTATTTGTCGTTATTTACAATTTGTTATTTACTTTGTCATTTTGTACTTGAAGAGTAACCTGATAGATCGTTTTCGCACATTCCACACCTTCAGCGAAACATCACACTAACGACCTTACATTAACCTGTACTGTTCAACTACAAGCTCCGTAACAGAGAAAGCAAACCACGGTCTTACATTTATATTTAATTAATTAATTAGGACGTAGAACAAGACTATTTAATTGTACATTATTCTAATATTAGGCAACTAAATGAAAATTACCATAATCTTATGTGTACGGTAGTGGTAGGTCTATAAACAAAAAGACGAAGATGGCATAAATAAATTTTCTGTTCCTCGAGGGTATTTTTAACAATTTACCTTAAATCAGAGAGGATTATGCAAACAGAACTCGATTTTGTTTTAAAAAAGTAAAAATGATTTTGAAGAAATCCGTTCTATAATTACTTACCTTATAACCTATTAGTATCAACCTCATAAGTAATAAATGACTTATGTTGAACTCTTTCAGCACACAGGTGGCCGTCATTTTTTTATACATTAACCGACCTCCCGTAACGAGATAGGCAACCACTGATCTAGTCCTTCATTGTTAAAGACAAAAGTGAAGTATGTACTATGATTGAAACCTTTTGACGTCTTTTTTCACTGGATTATGAACCTTAGAATTTTAGAACTGGAAAGTCATGCTGCTATTTTGTTTCGTAGTTGTTTTTGTTATTTAGTTTGTTTGTTTTGTTTGTTTTTGGTTTTTTATAGTCGAAACACAAAATTGTAAATTGAAATGCCACGAGCCACGGTTGGAAGCCCCGTAAGAGACTTGACTTCAATGTGAAAACATCCGCCATAAAACATGACTGTTTTTTTGGTTGCTTAGTTTAACTTCTCCAGAAACTTGACGAGTACTTAACATTGCAGAAATTATACGACTTTTGTGAACAAATTAAAACTAAATTTTACAGAATTTAAACTCTAATGCATACAAACCAGAGAATATGACCTGTGAACAACTTTAAGAGGTAAATACTGTTTCGGCTTTCAAGGACACATTAGTGATGCTAGGGGCCTAGGTGTTGAAATGTAGATGATAGGAAAGGGAGATAAAACGTAGTCGAAACAGATGGTATATTAAAATGAGAAAATGGTACTAGTGATAATATTGATAAATATCTTAATATATCAATGATACAGGAAAAAAAGCCCCCCTGTCCTAAAGACACCCGGATTAACAAAATTAACCTGTCCTTCAAAGGTCAATAGATGTGATCTAATTCTAACAGAAAGCGTTGCTTGTGAAATTTTAAAAAAGTGTTTTTTATGGATGTGAAATAATGCTTTGTTATACATTTGTAGTCTTATGATCGCTTTCCGTTGGTGTAACTTTTGTAACTAAAGAATCATTGTGTTAACATTACTGTTGTCGTTCATTTTGTATTCCGTGTCATGTGGTCAGTGTTGAGTCTGATCACGAACATATACCAGTAGTCAGGCCGTGATACTTAAAATAGTGGCAAATATGATGACTATCTGTTCTTGCTAGTATCCTGTGATGTTTCAATGAAGATTGGTAAACCGGACTAAACAATTAGGTAATAAGGAACAGTAAAAAGATGCATTATAACGGAATGAAATTAACTTTATTTTACTATGCACGCCACAGTTCCTTGACCCCACCCCGGATATAAACTTTCCTTGAATAAACCTGTAGATATCTGATATGACGCGATGAGCAACAGCAACAGCGTTCATGATAGGATAAGCCTAAATTAAGACTGGACACGATCTCCTAAAATAATTCAATATACAGACTTCAGTACCCATGGTCCTACCCTTAGGGGATGAAAGCAAGTCACCCAGTCACGTCGCAAGAAAACTTGCATTTATCAGAGAGAAAATACCTTGCAATAGCTTTGGAGAGGAAACCTGTACACAGAACACACACGTTGTGGTTATGAGCACGTCACAGTGGCGCAGTCATACTTATTAATAAAATAATAAGGAAATAAGGAACTAACCACATTAAACAATGTTTTAATTCTACATTTCTTTACAATAGACATTGATGAATCAAGGATTGCTACCGTTATCACACTATCTCTGTTTTCTTCCTGTGACATTTGGTTACGTTTTAACACTGTCATTCAATTGTCAAAAAGCAACATTTTTAATTATCACTATGGCCATTAAGTGTAATTGATTAATCACCTAATTTACATAGATACAAACTAGATAATGAATGGATTGTTAAATGATCTGAGGTATATAAATTATTTCGTAATCAGTGTTTAAAGACTAAGTTTCCTCAGTTGATCATTAGTAAGTAAGTAAAGATAGAAGAAAAGATATCATTTCTGAGACGTCGTTTTCAATTTAACAACGGAGCTATACATGCACGAAAGATAAAAATTCTAGAAAATAAAGAAAAGCTATTTACTGTGAAGGACAAATGCTGGTTGGCTACAATATAAGGTTTTAATAATTAAATGCAAAGAATTGATATCCTCACTGTCCGTTGACAAGATGACATGAAGCTGTAAATGTATAACCGATATTGCCGACGTAAATAACAACAGAACGTGTTTACATCAACGCCAAGGTATTACTAGAAGTGTATACACGTCACTACTAAATAGTGTTAAATGTAGCTTTTACCATTCTCGTCTCTTTCATGTAATTAATAATGATGGCATTATTTATTGTCCTATTACATACATATCTCATTAATTACTGCATTATGTTGTGTGTTGTCATGTACCTGTTACCGTCAGAATTTTCGAGGATGTCAAAGGGCTTTTTTTCGCATATGCTATACAAAATCGTGCATATCCACAGTCCTGACGGCACGAACATCCATGTTTTGCCGATTTTTTGTCGTTATTAGAGTTTCCAGGTTAATTATTTTTATTTAACGTTTTAAAGTCGGATACAGACAATGATTGTGAGGAACCGTTTGGGAGCCTCTCGTCCTTCACATAAAAATATCTGGATCAGTCTTTGTTTGTTGATATACATCTATCACTGAATCAATACAAACCCCCGAGATTATAATACACACAGATATCAAATCTGATAATTGGTGTTTCACATCAAACCTTATACCTGTGTAGTTTCACATCAAACCTTATACCTGTGTAGTTTCACATCAACTATTATATCTGTGTAGTTTCACATCAAACCTTATACCTGTGTAGTTTCACATCAAACCTTATACCTGTATAGTTTCACATCAAACCTTATACCTGTATAGTTTCACATCAAACCTTATACCTGTGTAGTTTCACGTTAAACCTTATAACTGAAAAGTTTATTATGAAATCTTATGGCTGAAAAAAATAATACCGAATTTTTTACCTGAGGAATCAGATATCAAATATGATGTTTGAAGATAATGATATCGTATCTATGATATATAGAGAGTGTAAGATTTGTATTGAAAATCGAATGTAAAACAGCAAATTAGACCTTATCTTACGTGTAGGACGTGGATTGCACTATATGCACTAAACAAAATCAAGAATTTAGAGCAATATCACCTCATGGGCATTGAAAGTGAGCAATCATACAACTACATTGTAGAAATGTGAAGGAATCGGTAAGTGAATATTAAATCGGGAATACAAACTAAACACCTTAGGATACGGAGCGATAGATCATAGTAAAATATCCAGTTTAAGAGTTGTCAAGTAAAAATACATATATATGTATTTCTCAGGTAAATACTGGGCGTTTCTACACTTATGCATTATTTGATACGATACGGAGAGCCGGTAAACATCTTACTGGTTTAAACGTCATAGACGTGTTTTATTGGCCAGTCTTTTAATTATGACGTTGCACCATTATTGTATCTTCCGGCATCTTCTGTCGTGACGTCATAGTTATGGTTATCGTTATTTTTAAATATATAATATGTTTCCAAGAGAACAACATTTTTTTACGATTTATTAAAAAAACAATCTGATAAGCCATAGAAAAAATCCCAAAATGTATGTCCGAACCTTTTACCGAAATCTCATTTGTTTTCGACATAGTGTAAATTGCGTTCCAAAGCTATCATATGGTATAACATAACCTCTGTTGTTTGGATATCAAGCTTAGACCTCTAGGAGTGAAACATGACAACTAGAATCTGACTGGTACAATGACGTTTCTATATATGTGCATTACTATGCAGAGCGACATAGACGTCTGTTAATCCTGTGTTAGTGGTGTAACACCGCTGTGATAATCTATTTTCTGTCATTTGTCAAAAAGAGCAAGGATCAGTTAAAAAAGACAAGAAATACTGATATATTGTAAGGCAAAACATTTTGTTTCATGCTATCTTTTATCATTATCTATGAACAAAAATTGCTCGAGGTTCCATCTAACCTGAACAAATGATTTTTTAGAAAGATGATATACTTACAGTAGCAGAGATTGTCCAAATATTCATGTTATCCTGGAATCAATATCTGTCAATCAAGTCTTCCTACCGGTGTTTGTATATTCAAATGCTGCAGCTGCTCAAATGATGATTGCTGGGACAGGGAATCATTTCTTGGAAAGTTTGAAGAGGTAAACATTATATATAAATAGCCACTTTTATGATTTAAAAGGAATCTTTATATTCCTGTTGTATGTGGAGGACATGGTGTGTCCGTTGCACAGGTCAAATGGGTGCGGATTTTTACACACAGGGTTGTCCCTGACACTTGCTCCTCTGTAATGGTCCTGGTCTTAGTTTACTGTTCTGGGGCGTGAAAGGCACCAAACACGTGATCCGCTGATACTCTTCCGCAGGTAGAATGAGTACTAATGTTTAGTTAAAGCAGTTCTTCATTTTACGTACAACACAGTGAAGGACTAAGCCAGGACACACCACAGGAACAGACAATTCTTGTATACTATAGACCTTTGCGCTCCCCACAAGTATTACCAACACAATACCTTGTGCCTGTATAAATATGATGAATATGCTTTCGTATGTAATTAGCAGGATAGTTTCTTCTCTATTAGGACAGATCTGATTGGCTGCTGGGATCAATTGTATCTCATTATCGATTGTACTGCCTCTGTATGACATGGCCGATGAATAATTAAGATATACGCATTTTATTTCAAGGCATTAAACATTTGCTAAAACCTGTGTACGTATATTGAGTACAATGAAACATTTACTTACATTGACTTCATGAAAAGTGAGATATTTCATGAAAATATTGTTCTGGTTAAGGAAAAAATACCATCCTTTTTGAGTCACCAACACAAGTAATATGCATACTTAAATGATTAGGTAGGACAGTAATGTGCCTGACCGCATTATTCCCAACAAAGGTAACTGGAATATATATCATAGTGTTGTGTCTTACACCGGGATGTCGTTGTTTAGATAATGTAGGCGATATTGTATGTATACAAACATTTGTTTTGATTGTTAATAACCAATAACTATATGTATACAAACTCACACAGTACAAAACTATTATAATGTTATTTCTATGTCCAGCATATGTTCAAATTCAAATACATAAAAATCCGAAGATATGATGCACACTTATGGTGTCTAATCAAGCAACTTTTTGAACTATATATAGATATTTATTTTCAATATTAAACAAAAAACAAAAACTAAAAATAAAGAATCCGATTGAAGAAGTTCAAAGTTTTGTGCACCCACGAAACGGAAGGGTCCCGTGGTTGCATCTACGGCGGATTTTTAAAAATAATTGTTTCACAAAAGGCTTCCATGATATAATATAATTTGGGGTTTACAATACTGTGTGTGTGTGCTTTTTTTATTTTCGGCATGATATTATTATAACGTTTTAGTATATTAAGTTGTCGTGGTGAGTATTTGCAATAATATTAATGGTATAGCTCAGCACATATCTAAAACAGAGCTATTTTCATTCTAATTCACACGTTCTCAAGCAAAGACAAAACAAAAAAGATGATGACGTGTCTTTTTTGTGCATGATTCCGGAAAAAATTGTTTTTGTTTAGTAATTGTGACGCCAGTACCATTCAAAACCAAGCAAAATTTCAATGACCTGTCAGAGTCATGCTTTTGTTAACGATGTCATTTTTATGATGTTTTGGAGTCACTGACGATATCAACAATCGCCATCCGGACTAAATATGAAAATGAGGAGGATATGGATGGTATATCCTGTCTATATAGACACAAGTATTTTTTTTATTAAAATATCAATAAAAAAAAAACAAAAACAAAACAAAACACCGAAGTGTAAACGCATTTATAGGACATCAATATCTACACTTTGAGTTGCATAAATTCAATGTGCAACTATTTTGTTGTCATTGACGGCGTCAAAACCGTCCAAATGACGCCAGTTACTACTCATGGTTTAAGAAAGCCGTTAAACTCAACTCGTCGCTGTTTTAACAACTTCATTGCTCTGTTTTTTGTTTTTTGAGAATGTTCGACGAAAATTCGTGGTTATCAAATATATTTATGAGTTTTAATTACCATCATTATCATTTTCAATCAAACCAGTAATAAGTGCTTTTTTATATCGATGCAAAATGAATGAAATCTGTGTTTTCAATTGAAAAGTAAGACTGATACGAGATACGAAAGCATTGATATAGCTGATATTGTTAGTCGATCTGTGATGTATTATAGTTATTCAAACAAACTAACTGGGATCCAAAAGCGTATACGTCGTCAAATAAACGTTCATTTATGGTCTGGTGATCTAATTTAGTCCAGACGTACTCAAAATAATTGATCGTAAAGTCGCTACAGTATTATCACATGTTGTTTATTTCTTTATGTGACAGTACTATAAATGAGTATTTAGAAAATATTTGAAAATAAAATCAATCTGGCTCCCTTCAACATCACACCAATTCGGGTGAGGACAGCAGAATTTCGGTTCACCTTTGACCTTTGAAGCGAATTCCATTTAAAATGGTTCAGAGGTTCTAGGACGAAATGGTAAGTCTACGTCTTAGTTGACCTACATAATGTCATGAACACAACATTTCTTGTTACGCTCAGAACTTTTTTTATCCTTATACATATATCGATGATAAATTCGATACTTGAAAAAGGAAGTTACTGGAATCGAAGGTTTTGGGACATTTGCATTGTCATAGTTCTGTAATCCCGACTCCAAATTCATGTCGTTAAGATAACTATAATCAGAATTATTTCTTGAATAGATATTACCTTTCATGATGATAAAATGATGTCATTTTTAATTTTGATTTTTATTGAAAACCTTGAGGCATCAAGATATATATTTTTATATATTTTGATTTCCGTTAGTCATGTCGCTGACATATTTACACACGTTGATACAAATTATATTGCTGTTTTGATTGATCCGACCAAAGTTGGTGTTGACATCTCAGCTAACATACATTTTTTTTTATTTTTGTGTACTTTAGTGTGATTCAAATGATAAAAAGAGTACCTCACTAACCAGCACATATACACAAAAAAATAAGTCATCACCTTCGGAGATTTTGTATAAGTTACCTTAATGAATCACGGCTTTTCTAAGGGATTCCCACATAAATGCAGGAGTTGTTCTCTCTATATAAATCTTATCTATTTAACTTGTGGTTGGATTACGATTCTGTTGACATGTTGGAATTTCCTTTGTTGCGTTGAACGCTCTGATATTCACCACAGCATTTAGCAGCGATCTTCAGCTGTATTATATATATATATTTGTAGGAATGTATTCATATTTGAATATGTAGGAAATCATCATCTAAACGATGCTTGAATAAGTCGTGTTAAATAATCGTTTTGTACAAAAATACAGGGTATTTATAAATAGATGGTGAATCTATTTAGGATTTCAATAGAAACACAGTTATTATGACGAAGTATTGAACAAAACTAAAATATTTATAATAATTTTCTGATCGGAAATGTCATAAAACGGTCTCAGCAATAGGAAAGTTGACAAATTTATAATATCAGGAAAAACTAACTTCCCTGCCTTGTTTAATCTGTCTACATTGCTTTATGCTAAAAGACATACAACAGCATTTGAGGACTTGTCCAACAACAAGGAAACTCTCATTGATAAGAGGGAAAATTGGAGAAATTTCTTATCCTACAGATGATGACTACCTACGTGTCGATATAATCATAATCCAAACTCAAATTCAATAAAACCAGGGCAAAATATTAATACAAGAAAGATTTACACGAAGATTCCCCAAAAAGAGTACAAAGAGAATAAAGACCAGGTGTTCTGGAAAAGAAAGCGTCTTCTGCTTCACACAAGATATGTAAATTTTGCCCAATCCATGTAAGTAAGTTTACATTATCAAATGAGAACTACACAACGAACAGTCAAAATAACGAGCATCAAACACGTCCATATCGAAATCGAAATAGAATATTTCTCAATGAGATCAGTATGACGACCGTAAAATTGTTCATAATGTTCACCAACCTGCATCTTTTGAAACTTTTGAAACAGTTGACGACTTCTTTGCACGAAAAGTCGTGATAACGATAACAGGCCCTTGAATGTCGAATCAATGCCATATCTTGGGGATATAGGGATGTTGTTATACAGAAAATCAGGGAAATTGAAATAATCACGCTTACTATACAGTTTGGTGGTAGGCTGTTGGTTTCGTTGTAGGAAAAGGTCGAAATAAGCGGCTAATGTTGATGATTCTGCCGTGTCCTTGATTTCCAATTCTGATTGGTTTATGCGACGGACGTCGTAAATAAATCTCTTGTTATTTAAAGACATGACGTCATCAATATATCCGAAAGAGAAATTAATCGACTTTGCAGAGTCTATGTGACCAACTTTTATAAGTTCTTTGATAAACTGAAAACTAAAACAAGACGACCGACACAGGGGCACATAGATATGACAATAATCCGTTTGGAGGTCTTACCACCAAAGTCGACAAAGATGTTGTCAACCAGAAACTCGATCGTTTTTTATAATTTCGTCCTTCGTATACAGTTTTTTTGACGTATTTTTCACGAAATACGCTTCAGAATAGTTCCCAACGATGTATTTATACCGCCGTTCACTTTTGTTGGAAAATAAAGCTCTCATTACAAAGAACGAAGGAGCTCTTTTCATTAAGAATGGGATATGGTGGTGTACAGAGAGAAAAAATTCAATCATCTTATAGAAGAAATGTTTTTAGATTGGTCAAAAGCTCTTTGGTGTTCTTGAAAACTTCACACACTATTAATTCCTCTTCTTGAGTAAACCAATACAAGGAAACGAGGCAAAGAAAAGAGGAAGAGAACTGGTTAACCACAAATTTAGACTGCCTTTAAAGAACACTAAGAAATAAACGTCATTCAGTGGTTACAACTTTAAGTCTTCCGTCATAGTTTAACTACAGACTCGTTACCGTCTTATTCAAAGCTAGTAGATAGATGCAGCATCTGTGACTTTAATTAGGGTTAGGGAAATGATTAATTCATTTTGG